TAGGCAGGGGGCCACAGCCGAGAATGCCCTGCCTCTCATCCCCGGGAGACGCATTTATGCTGTTGACGGGAGCGAGAGCAGGGCCTCCCCAGATATAATGCATAGTTAAAGCTTATTAGCAGAAAAGAACTTTTAACCAGAAATACAAATTTCTTGATGTTTGATTTTAAGTCCTTGCTGTTGATGTAGGAGGTTCAGAAACACAAAGAGCAAACTCTGATGATAATTTGCAACAGATAGCTCTCACATCATGAGACGTACAGTTTGACCTGATGCATTTTCTGCTGCAAAACATTTATTGCTTTAGGACCAGTATTATATTTTTTGGCTGATTCAACTGTTATCCTTTTTGTCAGGAGCAGGATGGACAGGTGATTAGGGCTGCATTTTCGGGGCCTGCTTCTGCTATGAAAACCATGTGTTGTGAATGCTGGGAGTGCATCCATTGTAGGACTGTTGGTGTCTTAGGCAAGCAAGCTGGATAGCTATTGGTTTGGGTGAGAACAACAGGTTCCACAGTTTGCTCCAAATAACTTCCACTAGGGACCTCATCACATTAGTAAATTTTAGCGTCTTAGGACACTTGGAGAACGGTGAGAGGACAGAGCCTGCTGAATGCCATCAGACAATGCACAGCTACTTCTGATGAGGCTCTGTCCTTCCAGTGTCCTGGTGGTTTGCTAGAACGCTTCCCAGAGAACACGGGAAGCTTCCCATGATCTCATGGGAAAGAGGCTTCCTGTCTTCTCATACAAAAGAATGGAAAGAGCATAGGTGGAAGCCAGGCAGTGATGCTTCCCCCCTTGAGATGGGCAAGAGGGCAATGTAGGCAGTGTGGGGTGCAGAGCAATGAGTTCCCTCGCCACCTGCTGAACTCCCCTCACTGCATACTGAATCCCCCTGCTATTGTCCGTAAATTGGACTTCAGTGTAATGAGGTCCTTAAGAATAAAATAAATACATTTAGCCATCTGTATCTGTGGATCAACAGATTCCATCATTCACAGTTTGAATTTATTTTTGTTAAACCAAAAGGAACATCATTTTGTTAAACTGTTGTATATAATGGGGACTCAGCATCCACAAAATGTTGGTATTGATGAGGATCTTGTAACTGAACCCCAGTGGATACAAAGGACCCAATAAAACCATAAGGAAAAACCTACATTTCCTCTTGTTAGTTTTTCCCAATAAAGTTCCCATGGGAAGCCCATAAGGAAAGCATGAAAGTAAGAGCTCTTTCCCATAGTTATCCCTCCAATAGCAGTCTCTGAATATGGAAGCTCAATTTGGGCATTTTGACTAATAGTCATTGATAAATCAAACCTCCATTATTTTGTCTAGACACTATATAACCTCTGTCCCATATTCTTTACAGTAATGGATTATCTGAACACCTATCTTTCCTCCCCTCTTTCAAAATGATTCTTAGAAAAGATGAATGGTTTTATGGGGTTTTGTGTAAAAAATGTGAAGAATATTCACATATTTCTACATCCTTGATGAAAGAGGGCTGATGGAAACACAATTTTTCACTCTCACATGAGAGCCACAAAAGGGGACATTTTTTTCCATGAAAAGCAGCATTTCCAATAGTATGTTTGACAAGTCACCCCAGCTACACAAAAACACTCATAATTTTGTCTAATGGGAAGAAAACTTTCAATTTCTTAAAACTTTATACACATAATAAAAGTGAAAAATGTGTATGTGTGTATGTGGTGGAGGTGTCCACTTACACAGACAGCCTCCAGCCTCCAGAAACAGGCTATAGTTCCAAGTGCTGAGATGCCTCCAAAGGCACTCCCTCAACTGACATTGCAAGTTAGAGTGAGCGCCGTGAACATGTAGCCCAAACCCTGCATTAACACTACAGCCCACCGCCCAATGCTTTCATTTGGGGAGAATTTCATCCTAGATTTGATGTGTTTCCTCCACCACAGGCAGGCATCCTAGGGTTCCTTGTGTGGAATTTGCATGACCCTGCCTACTGCCTCCTCCTTAACCCTTTCCTACCCTTTCCTATGGCACACAGCAAACACATAGGAATTAATCAGCAACTGAACAGACTGGAGGGGTTTGGGGGACTGACTTAACAGGATGGAAGTTGTCGTTCACCCTGTGTCAAAGCAGAGCATTGTGATCCCCTTTGATAATACACCTGGACAACAGTGGCATGCAGGACCCCCATTACCAGGGGGAATTGACCTTTATTTATAGGAGTTGTAGTTGACCTACATCTAGAGAGCACCTTGAACCCAACCAACGATGAATCTGAACCAAACTTGCCATTCATGATGGGACTTGCAGTACCTTCATGCACCTCCAGAGACCACTGTGACCCCCACGAATGAGGAATCAAGACCACACTTGGCACACAAATAATCCGGGCACCACCGGGTCCCCAAGCTAGTATGAGAATAAAATAAGCAAAAGACGGATATTTGGTGTATGTGCGCCAATGTAGGAGAAAACTGTCTTCCATAAAACCCTTTCAAAGGAATGGGAGTGTTGCAATCTGAAGCCACAATTATGTGCTGCTGTTAAACTAGGCCTTGTAGCCTCCTAGAAAGGCTGGTATGTCCTCTTCCTATGTGGAGGAGTAGATGTTGGTTCATTGACTTCAGCAATTTGACATCCAGTCCATTAACTCCTCTTTATTTGGCTGCATCTATGTAATATTTGGTGATCTATCAATTGGTAACTCTGTTTGCACTGCCACCACTGCATCCAAAACAAAAGAAAGGAAAAATAGGATGGAATGGAATGGAATAAGCGGTAGATAGAATACAAATGGTGTGTCTTTAGCCTGAGCAGTTTTTATGCTTGGACATTATCCCCCATCATTGGCCTTTTAACATAGCTCTTTGGTTGAGTTATAAGGGTTGTTAAATATGAAGCACGCTTTAAAACGAGTCCTGTCTTGGCCCGCTTATATTCTGGGAGGTTTTGCCATCAAAATGAGATGCCTTGGCAGCAGGCGAGGGCTCCGTTTAACAGTGTCATTCAAGATTTGGGATCAAGGACATGTGGGAAATTTGAGACATCAGATAAACTGTGCATTAAACGAGGCTACAGAGTGATTAAGATGGAAGGCAAAAACAAAAGGAAGAGGAAAAGGTGCTGGAAGTGTTTAACCATTAAATGTGGCTATTTTGCAGAAAATTAATCTCAAATTTTTAAATAGGACACTCTTAATTTGAAATTCAGAGTTGAGAGTTTGGTTTTGAGAATAAAGTCAAATGATGATGTTATTGACTATTTATTTATCATGTCAGAAGTTAATTGAGGGTACAGTTGTAATGTATTTAAAAATCCAAAGTTCAAAACTTGGCATTATATTAAATGTGCCTTGACCAGTAGCTGGCCACTTGGAGTGCCCCTGGTGTTTCTATAAGAAGGTCCTCCATTGTGGCAGGGCTCAGGCTGCATTGTAATACGTGTTCTGTAGTTTACTCTTCTCCACACTTGCATGTCGTGGACTCCACTTTGTGGCCCCATTTCTTAAGGTTGGCTCTGCGTCTTGTGGTGCCAGAGTGCAGCCTGTTCAGCGCCTTCCAAGTATTTTGTGCACCGGGGGGGGGGGGGGGGGGGGTTTCTCATATGGTATCGGCCATGGATTGACGTTCTGTGGTTTTGCCTGCCACTTTTGGGCTCTTGCTTGCTGAGGTATTCTCTTAAGTATCTCTGTAGATCTTAGAAATATATTTCTTGATTTAAGGCATTTATGTYTTGGCTGATATCTGAGCAGGGCGTGGGTTGAAGACTTGGACTAATGTTTTAATTCAAAATGAAATGAACCAGAAATTGAATATGTGCATCTAAATTTTATCCATGATTACTTTGGGTCTCATCATGCATGAAAAAGGGAGCACAAGAGGAACTAATGATGATTGATTTTAAAGTTTCAACGATCATTGAAAGATGTTTTTTAAATCTGGGTGGCACCTGGGACTGCACTTTGCCCATTTTCAATCCCTAGGATCACTGCCAATATAGTTTTTTTTCCTCCCCATTTTTCTTAAAGTGATGAAAGGATCTTGTTTCTGATGAAATTAGATATTTTAAGTCTTTACAAGGTCTAGGATGGAAAACTTTATTCAAAATATAGAGTCTTGTGTTCTTGGAGGTTTCTAGTGGTGCAAAACATCCATATTAGGGAGTTTATCCTAGCAATAAGGAGATAAGGAGAGCAGCGTACTGTTGTGTCCCACAAACTCCAGTGGAATTTCTCCCAAGTGAGTGTGAATTAATGTACACATTAAGTGAATTAATGTACACATTAAATGTACACCTTAATGTACACATTTCCCTGCCCAATCTGTCACCTGAAAACATAACTCATCAGCTATGCACTGTGATTTGGTAGTTTGACAGGAAGCAGAACCAGGAAGGTAGTTTGACAGGTAGGAGAACGTTTTATGGCTGTGGCATTGGACTGAGGGTTGCAGCTACGTTGACAAGCCCTAAACCATGATGGGATGATATCTACAGACTGTAGCTCACCATATGTACTCTTCCAAGGCTTTATAAACTTCTCATTGTAAGGAAAAGAAAATGAGAAAGTCAGAAGAAAGTTGTATGAATTTGTAATGAAGTCAGGTCTGTATATTATCAATGACTGCCTGAGGAATTTAAGTGAATGGAGGTTGTGAGATGACCAGGGAGGAAAATGGTATTTGGACACCAAAAGGCCAGCTTAACAAGATTGAAGCTGTGTAGCTCTGAAATAATTGATATTCTTGCCTTTGGAAAATCTCCAGAATGGATCTGAGGGTTAAGGTTAAAATTTTAGATGGAGCAAGATGCCTGAAGCACAGCCCTTAGATCCAGGTAAAGTGCTGACATTTTCCTCTTGGGAGAAGAGAGGTGCTGGCTTCTAGAAATTGCTGTTCACAGCAAAACTGGGGAGGGGGAGATGAGAGAATCAAGTGACAAGATGATTTAGAATTGATATAAAATCATTTATTGAAAGTCCCTATTCTCTTTCTGAATCTGCAGGTGCATTGTGGATAACCGAGTGACCAGGGTGGCCTGGCTCAACCGCAGCAGCATCCTTTATGCTGGCAATGACAAGTGGTGTCTGGACCCACGAGTGGAGCTTATTGCCAACACCAAAATTCACTATGCCATCCGGATAAATGATGTGGATGTGTATGATGAGGGGCCCTATACCTGCTCTGTGCAGACGGACAATCATCCAAAGACATCACGGGTCCATCTCATTGTACAAGGTAAGATCTTGGTGAAGTCCATTCTGGCTATAGACTGCTCTGAAATCAGTGGCATTTGGTGGATTTTTTGTTAGTGGTTTGGTGGATTTGGTCTGTGTTTTAATCTGCAGATCTCTTCAAAGTACTGAATGTATTGGAGGATAACTTCTTGAAATTTAAACCAATGCCTCCTCTTACTAATGGATGGGATGGGGACAAACTGGTGTGTAATCAGAGTATTTATTTATTTATCGTGTCAGGAGCAAACCAAACAGTTGTATTGCATTTTTAACAAACATACAAAACACAAAGTTTGCAAGCTTGGTAGTTGATTAAATGTCCTTTGACCAGTAGCTGGCCACTTGGAGTGCCTCTGGTGTTGCAAGAAGGTCCTCCATTGTGCATGTAGCAGGGCTCAGGTTGCATTGCAGCAGGTGGTCTGTGGTTTGCTCTTCTCCACACTCGCATGTTGTGGATTCCACTTTGTAGCCCCATTTCTTAAGGTTGGCTCTGCATCTCGTGGTGCCAGAGCGCAGTCTGTTCAGTCTTCCAAGTCACCCAGTTTTCTGTGTGCCCAGGGGGGAGTCTCTCATTTGGTATCAGCCATTGATTGAGCTTCTGGGTTTGAGTAATCAGAGTGAAGAGAGGGGAGGCCAGGAGACAGTTCCATGTTGTCTCCTGGATATGCCATCAGTTGGGGACCCCTCCCCCCAGCACCAGCTGCCATTCTGGGCCAGAGTGAAGAGAGAGAGGGCCAAGGGACAGTTCCATCTTGTCTCCTGGATATGCCATCAGCTGGAGATCCCTCTCCCCAGCACGTGGTTACAGAGTTAAAAGAGAGGGGACCAGGGGATAGCTCCATCTTGTCTCCTGCATATGTCATCAGTTGGGGACCCCCCCCCCCCCCAACTGCTCTGCTTGGGCCTAGGAAAATGGGGGAGGCCAGGGGACAGTTCCATCTTGTCTCCTGTGCTATTCTAATAATATAATATAATATAATGCATATACATATATTATTTATAATATCATAATATAATGCAATATAATACTACTACTAATAATAATAATACGATATTATAATTATATATTTTATATTACATGTAATATTACTAATAATATTACAATATAATGGTATAGTACAATATAGTAATATATAATACTGATATTGTACTATGCTAATATATATATATATATATATATATATATATATATATATATTGTGTGTGTGTCAAATCAAATCATTTATTTCGTTCATAGACCAGCACAGGAAATAGAAATCACATTTTCATACAAACTTGGTATGTTTAGTACATTAAAAATATAAATATAACTTCTGAAGCACAATGTGGGTGAGGGAGTGGAGGGGGAAACAGTGTGTGTGTATATCTATCTTGTAAGCCGTTCTGAATCCCCTTCGGGGTGAGAAGGGTGGCATATAAATGTCATAAATACATAAATAAATAATCCAGACAAGACAGAGTTGAAAGGCAGATCAGGGAATAATTTAAATATTTGAAAAGATGGCATAGCGAAGAGGGGACAGGCTTGTTTTCCATTGTTCTAGAGTAGTGGTTTCCCATCTGTGGCCCACAAGAGTGAAAATATGATCCGTAGCCTCACGATTACTACACTGTTGCCTTGAAACCATGCGGCAACAAGAGCAACTGGTCTTGTGAAACCCTCTTATAGTCCCGAGGCAACTGAGATGTCAGGAGGGGAGAGGCTGACTACCCACGAAAGATTACTACTACCACATCAGCTCTAGATTATTAAATATGGTTTTCTGTGGGTGAGCAGATGGCATCTACTGGATAGTATATGTTCTGTATCAGAAACTAGAGCTGATATGGTTTATCCAATGCAATTTTCTGAATTGGCACCCCAAATGACCAAACTGCATCTCAAGTTGACCTGACCAAAAACTGATTTGTAACCCTTTTGATACTAATGTTGGAGAGTAGTCCCTGGTCAAAGTGGTCCCTGGTCAAAAAAAGGATGTGAACCACTGCTCTAGAGTTGTAGGCTGAAACTCCTGGGGACCCACAGATTGAGAACCACTGCTCTACAGAGTTGGGTATGTAACAATGGATTTAAACTTCAGGAAAGGAGTTCCACCCAAACACTAGGAAAAACATCCTGACTGTAAGTGCTGATCAACAGTGGAATATGCTGCCTGAGAATATGGCAGTGTCTTTTTGGGGGGGAAGGGGTGTTAAGCAGAGACTGAATGGCCATATGTCGGGAGTGCTTCCATTCCTGCATGGCAAAATGGGATTGGACCGGTTGGCCCCTGGGAGTCTTTTCCTACGATTCTAAACAAGCCTATGGGATAGGGGAGTGGACAAAGTGTATTGCTTGCAAAATGCTGAGGCCCTAGAGCTTTTGAGCTGTAGGATTCGGAGCAAGAGTTAATAGGAATAAGAGAAATCTAATCCTCTTTCCACAAGTCATTTCTGTAGGAGTTGCCAGGGAGCCTTCTTAGCATGACGTTCCAGCTTGAGCATTGGAATCTCATCTAGAACTAATTTTCAAATGCTGGTGCAGGTATTGATTGGAAAACAAACTGGACTAAGAAAGGCTTTGGACTTATACACCAAGTCATCTTGAGCTAATCCATTGTCGATAGGCTGAGATTGAGCATTATTATTGACAGATTAATGAATAGGATGCCGAAGGGGGGTGGGGGGTGGGCTTCACATCTTCTTTTTCTCCTTAAAGCAATCAAGGAAAATAAATAGGGCCAAATCTCCTCTTCTAGCTTTCACCATTGTTTGCAAAACAACTTTGACTACAACAAAAAAGTGGTGGTTGTTTTCCTTGCCTGGGCATTTCTTGTTTATCTTTCCAAGTTTTATTAGCCGTCTATTTCTTGTAAATCAATCTCATGTTGGGGGAAATCTGGAAGCTCCACTTGGAAAACCAAAGAAGTGTAATTATATTGGATCCTTCCTCGGGCTGGTGCCATGTGTCCTGACCCAAATTTGTGATATCTTCTGGTATTTAAAATCAATCCTACCCATTTGCTGTTTTTCTCATCCGCTTCTCTGCATGAGCTGCTTTAAGGAAGATATCTGGTTGCCACAAGAGAGCAATACATTCTGTCAGAGAAAGCTTTACAGGATATTGTTCTTTAAGGTGCAAGCTATCTTGTCATCGAAAATGGAAGTCTCTCTTAACTGCCTTTGAAGTTAATTGGAACTGGGAGTATTCAGAACAGGGTAGCATCTTGGAAATTGTGAGTGTATGTGTTTGTTGCTGGCTGATCACTTTTATCCATCTCTGGGGTGGACTGATGGAGCTACAGAATGAGGCAAGACAACAATATTTCAAGCAGTGGTTCTCAACCTTCCTAATGCTACGACCCCTTAATACAGTTCCTCGTGTAATGTTGACCCCCAACCATAACATTTTTATTGCTACTTCATGTCAGGGGAAAACCTTTACCTACCTTTACCTAGTTGCTGGGATTTATAGTTCACATACAAAGAGCATTCTGAACTCAATCAATGATGGAACTGAACCAAACTTAGCACACAGAACTCCCATGACCAACAGAAAATACTGGAAGGGTTTGGTGGGCATCGACCTTGAGTTTTGGAGTTGTAGTTCACCTACATCCAGAGAGCACTGTGGACTCAAACAATGATGAATCTGGACCAAACTTGACACCAAAACTCAATATGCCCAAATGTGAACACTGGTGGAGTTTGGGGGAAAACAGACCTAGACATTTCGGAGTTGTAGTTGCTGGAATTTATAGTTCACTTATAATCAAAGAACATTCTGGACCCACTGAACACCAACTGCTGCTCTGGGCCAGAGTGATGAGAGAGGGGGCCAGGGGACAGTTCCGCCTTATCTCCTGTGCTATGCTTATAATATAATATAATATAATATAATATAATATAATATAATGTATATACATATAATATTTATAATATTATAATGTAATACAATATAATACTACTACTAATAATATGATACTATAATTATATATTTTTATATTACATGTAATATTACTAATATTACAATATAATGGTATAGTACACTATAGTAATATATAATACTGATATTGTACTATGCTAATAATATATATATATATATATGTGTGTGTGTGTGTGTGTGTGTGTGTGTGTATGTATGTGTGTGTGTGTGTGTGTGTGTGTGTGTATATATATATATATATATATATATGTATCTTGTAAGCCAATCTGAGTCCCCTTCAGGGTGAGAAGGGCAGCATATAAATGTCATAAATAAATAAATAAATAAATAAACCCCACCAATGATAGAATTGGGCCAAACTTCCCACACAGAACCCTCATGACCAACAGAAAATACTGTGTTTTCTGATGGTCTTTGGTGACCCCTCTGACACACCCTCACGACCCCCCCCCCAAGGGTCCCAACTCTCAGGTTGAGAAACACTGATTTAATGTATGTATGTATGTATGTATGTAGGTGCCTTTAAGTCACCTGCCAATTTGAAGTGACCCTATGTATTTCATTGTTTTCTTAGGCAAGGGGAACTCAGAGGTGGTTTTGCCCATTCCTTCCTCTGATATATAGCCTACATGCTGACTGGTGCCCCGGAGTGTGGTGGAGGCTCCTTTTTTGGAAGCTTTTAAACAGAGGCTGGATGGCCATCTGTCAGGGGTGATTTGAATGCAATGTTCCTGCTTCTTGGCAGAATGGGGTTGGACTGGATGGCCCATGAGGTCTCTTCCAACTCTTTGATTCTATGATTCTATGGTGTTTGCTACATGGAGCAGGTAGGCTATAGTAAAACTGTAGACATTAGGCCTGTGCGGTTTCGTTCGTTAATTCGTTAATTCGTTAAACATTCGTTATTTTTGGCATTTCCGAAGCGATATCAAAACACATTTTCAAACCCGGAAGGGTTTAAAAATATCGAACCGGCAACCCCCATAGATTTAACGAGCTTCCGCTCGTTTCGTTAATGGGATGGAGGCTGCTGGTGCCTGGGAGCCAATCCGGCGCTCCCAAGCAGTGCCTAGGAT